TTGTCACAATTTCTTTGCTTTGGATTGGTTACATTTTTCTCCTTTTTCTAAAAAAATAAAATAAATAAATATTATTTTTGTGCACTTGTAAAACAAGTAGTCACGTCTTGTCATTATTTACACCATTAGTAAAATGTATAAAAAGACGTTTTTTCGCAACTGTATAAGTGTTGATATGATGTTAGAAATGAGATTTGTACCCCTAACCTAGGTTAACAAATCAAATTATTTGTTTTTCAAACAGGTGTGTACAGATGGGATAGTTGTAGTAAGGTTGTTTTGGGAGCTCTAGAGAAAATTTCGAATAATTTTTAGTTCAGTTTCTAGTTCAGTTCTAGTTTAGTTCTAGTTCTAGATTAGTTCTAGTTCAGTTCTAGTTCAGTTCTAGATCAGTTCTAGTTCAGTTTCTAGTTCAATTCTAGTTCAGTTCTAGTTCAGTTCTAGTTCAGTTCTAGTTCAGTTCTAGTTCAGTTCTAGTTCAGTTCTAGTTCAGTTCTAGTTCAGTTCTAGTTCAGTCTAGTTCAGTTCTAGTTCAGTTCTAGTTCAGTTTCTAGTTCAGTTCTAGTTCAGTTCTAGTTCAGTTCTAGTTCATGTCTAGTTCAGTTCTAGTTCAGTTCTAGTTCAGTTCTAGTTCAGTTCTAGTTCAGTTCTAGTTCAGTTCTAGTTCAGTTCTAGTTCAGTTCTAGTTCAGTTCTAGTTCAGTTCTAGTTCAGTTCTAGTTCAGTTCTAGTTCAGTTCTAGTTCAGTTCTAGTTCAGTTCTAGTTCAGTTCTAGTTCAGTTCTAGTTCAGTTCTAGTTCAGTTCTAGTTCAGTTCTAGTTCAGTTCTAGTTCAGTTCTAGTTCAGTTCTAGTTCAGTTCTAGTTCAGTTCTAGTTCAGTTCTAGTTCAGTTCTAGTTCAGTTCTAGTTCAGTTCTAGTTCAGTTCTAGTTCAGTTCTAGTTCAGTTCTAGTTCAGTTCTAGTTCAGTTCTAGTTCAGTTCTAGTTCAGTTCAAGTTCAAGTTCAGTACTAGTTCAGTTCAAGTTCAAGTTCAGTACTAGTTCAGTTCTAGTTCAGTTCTAGTTCAGTTCTTGTTCAGTTCTTGTTCAGTTCTAGTTCAGTTCTAGTTCAGTTCAGTTTCTAGTTCAGTTCTAGTTCAGTTCTAGTTCAGTTCTAGTTCAGTTCTAGTTCAGTTCTAGTTCAGTTCTAGTTCAGTTCTAGTTCAGTTCTAGTTCAGTTCTAGTTCAGTTCTAGTTCAGTTCTAGTTCAGTTCTAGTTCAGTTCTAGTTCAGTTCTAGTTCAGTTCTAGTTCAGTTCAAGTTCAGTACTAGTTCAGTTCTAGTTCAGTTCTAGTTCAGTTCTTGTTCAGTTCTAGTTCAGTTCTAGTTCAGTTCTAGTTCAGTTCTAGTTCAGTTCTAGTTCAGTTCTAGTTCAGTTCTAGTTCAGTTTCTAGTTCAGTTCTAGTTCAGTTCTAGTTCAGTTCTAGTTCAGTTCTAGTTCAGTTCTAGTTCAGTTCTAGTTCAGTTCTAGTTCAGTTCTAGTTCAGTTCTAGTTCAATTGTGGTTCAGTAAACATTTTTAATACAAACCCAGTCTGCATTCCTGGCAGTGCTTCTGGTATATCTTTTTTTAAATAAAATGACTGTATTCCCTCTTTTGCAATTTAAAAACATTTCACATTTATTATTGTTTATTTTCTTATTTATATAATACATATATCTTTGTCATATTTAAATTAATATATTATTTGTTTTATTTGATTTTGCTACTACTTATTACTAGATTTTTTTTTTTAAATACACATTTAATAAATTGTTTAAATAATGTTTAATTTCTATTCATTTGACATTCAGTGAATGTATTTTATAACTATAAAACAAGAATTTTTTTACATTTATTAAAAGAAAAAATACTAATATTGAAATTAATTAAAGCTACATATTACTGGTGTTATGTTTAAAGACAAATATCGTTTAGATTTGTATTAATATTTATTTTTTAGTTTAAATGCTAATCACTATAAAATTTTTAATGCACAGACATACATATAAGTGTATTAACTTATAAATAAATAAAAATATTTTAACCAATAATTAATTTTTTAGTTGAATTTCAATAGGAACCAAAATTACAGCCAGAAATTATATTTAAATTTAAGTATTTAACAGTTTCTTTTTATAGCAGATTTTTTCTGAGGTCATGATTGATAGAAATTGATGTGGGACAATACAACACTTACCCAAAACCTTTCGTCTCGAATTTAGAGATGTTCGTTTTATTAATATCCATTCAACTAGCCTTTTGATGAAAAATTTGTTGTTGTTGTGCATAATTGCATGTTCTTAAAAAATGTTTCTGGGATACCAGTGTCTATGGTGGAAATCAAACTCACGATCCTTAACATCGATACAATTCTTTGAATTTGTTTAAACTGAACTGAAGTTCTAGTACATTTTTAGTTGAGTCCTAGTTCAGCTCTAGTTCAGTTCTAATACAGTTCTAGTTTAGTTTTAATTCAGTTCTAGTTCAGTTCTAGTTCAGTTCTAGTTCAGTCTAGTTCAGTTCTAGTTCAGTTCTAGTTCAGTTCTAGTTCAGTTCAGTTCAGTTCTAGTTCAGTTCTAGTTCAGTTCTAGTTCAGTTCCAGTTCAGTTCTAGTTCAGTTCTAGTTCAGTTCTAGTTCAGTTCTAGTTCAGTTCTAGTCAGTTCTAGTTCAGTTCTAGTTCAGTTCTAGTTCAGTTCTAGTTCAGTTCTAGTTCAGTTCTAGTTCAGTTCTAGTTCAGTTTAGTTCAGTTCTAGTTCAGTTCAGTTCAGTTCTAGTTCAGTTCTAGTTCAGTTCTATTTCAGTTCTAGTCAGTTCTAGTTCAGTTCTAGTTCAGTTCTAGTTCAGTTCTAGTTCAGTTCTAGTTCAGTTCTAGTTCAGTTCTAGTTCAGTTCTAGTTCAGTTCTAGTTCAGTTCTAGTTCAGTTCTAGTTCAGTTCTAGTTCAGTTCTAGTTCAGTTCTAGTTCAGTTCTAGTTCAGTTCTAGTTCAGTTCTAGTTCAGTTCTAGTTCAGTTCTAGTTCAGTTCTAGTTCAGTTCTAGTTCAGTTCAAGTTCAGTTCTAGTTCAGTTCTAGTTCAGTTCAGTTCTAGTTTAGTTCTAGTTCAGTTCTAGTTCAGTTCTAGTTCAGTTCTAGTTCAGTTCTAGTTCAGTTCTAGTTCAGTTCTAGTTCAGTTCTAGTTCAGTTCTAGTTCAAGTTCAGTTCTAGTTCAGTTCTAGTTCAGTTCTAGTTCAGTTCTAGTTCAGTTCTAGTTCAGTTCTAGTTCAGTTCTAGTTCAGTTCTAGTTCAGTTCTAGTTCAGTTTAGTTCAGTTCTAGTTCAGTTCTAGTTCAGTTCTAGTTCAGTTCTAGTTCAGTTCTAGTTCAGTTCTAGTTCAGTTCTAGTTCAGTTCTAGTTCAGTTCTAGTTCAGTTCTAGTTCAGTTCTAGTTCAGTTCTAGTTCAGTTCTAGTTCAGTTCTAGTTCAGTTCTAGTTCAGTTCTAGTTCAGTTCTAGTTCAGTTCTAGTTCAGTTCTAGTTCAGTTCTAGTTCAGTTCTAGTTCAGTTCTAGTTCAGTTCTAGTTCAGTTCTAGTTCAGTTCTAGTTCAGTTCTAGTTCAGTTCTAGTTCAGTTCTAGTTCAGTTCTAGTTCAGTTCTAGTTCAGTTCTAGTTCAGTTCTAGTTCAGTTCTAGTTCAGTTCTAGTTCAGTTCTAGTTCAGTTCTAGTTCAGTTCTAGTTCAGTTCTAGTTCAGTTAGTTCAGTTCTAGTTCAGTTCTAGTTCAGTTCTAGTTCAGTTCTAGTTCAGTTCTAGTTCAGTTCTAGTTCAGTTCTAGTTCAGTTCTAGTTCAGTTCTAGTTCAGTTCTAGTTCAGTTCTAGTTCAGTTCTAGTTCAGTTCTAGTTCAGTTCTAGTTCAGTTCTAGTTCAGTTCTAGTTCAGTTCTAGTTCAGTTCTAGTTCAGTTCTAGTTCAGTTTAGTTCTAGTTCAGTTCTAGTTCAGTTCTAGTTCAGTTCTAGTTCAGTTCTAGTTCAGTTCTAGTTCAGTTCTAGTTCAGTTCTAGTTCAGTTCTAGTTCAGTTCTAGTTCAGTTCTAGTTCAGTTCTAGTTCAGTTCTAGTTCAGTTCTAGTTCAGTTCTAGTTCAGTTCTAGTTCAGTTCTAGTTCAGTTCTAGTTCAGTTCTAGTTCAGTTCTAGTTCAGTTCTAGTTCAGTTCTAGTTCAGTTCTAGTTCAGTTCTAGTTCAGTTCTAGTTCAGTTCTAGTTCAGTTCTAGTTCAGTTCTAGTTCAGTTCTAGTTCAGTTCTAGTTCAGTTCTAGTTCAGTTCTAGTTCAGTTCTAGTTCAGTTCTAGTTCAGTTCTAGTTCAGTTCTAGTTCAGTTCTAGTTCAGTTCTAGTTCAGTTCTAGTTCAGTTCTAGTTCAGTTCTAGTTCAGTTCTAGTCAGTTCTAGTTCTTTAGTTCAGTTCTAGTTCAGTTCTAGTTCAGTTCTAGTTCAGTTCTAGTTCAGTTCTAGTTCAGTTCTAGTTCAGTTCTAGTTCAGTTCTAGTTCAGTTCTAGTTCAGTTCTAGTTCAGTTCTAGTTCAGTTCTAGTTCAGTTCTAGTTCAGTTCTAGTTCAGTTCTAGTTCAGTTCTAGTTCAGTTTAGTAGTTAGTTCTAGTTCAGTTCTAGTTCAGTTCTAGTTCAGTTCTAGTTCAGTTCTAGTTCAGTTCTAGTTCAATTCTAGTACAGTTCTAGTTCAGTTCCAATTCACTCTAATTCTATTTCATTTCCTGTTCATTTCTTGCCCAGTTCTAGTACAGTTTTAGCTCATTTGTAATTTAGTTCTAGTTCTACTTGCATGACTTGTTCTTAAGAATAGTTTTTGGTAAATAAATCAAAACTCTGTAGATATTTTATTTAATATTCTTTTTATTTAATTTTTATTTGTTTTAGTTTTTTATTTAAACACAATTAGAATAATAATTTAATTGTATTTCATAGTATTAGGACATGTGATTTATTTTTTGAAAGTTTGTAATAAATTTATTATCGTTTTATTTTTATCATATACATATAAATATTAAATTTTTTACAAACTAATTTTTTGACTACATTTTACACATTTATATCGCAGTTTTTTGTGTTTTACATGAGTGATATTCCAAACATAACTTTAAAAACTTTACACAACTGATTTGATTTACATGTAATTTGAAATTGATCTTTCTCAGGTCAAAGGTCATTGTTCTTTGTTTCAGTTAGTTTTTTGTTTTGGAATTGCATCATCTTATTGTAATTTATTTTTTACACATTTTTAATGTTTTTTATTATTAAATTAAAAAAAGCAGAAGGTTTTTTATTAAGAGATCTAGTATGATTTTCAAATTAAATTTTATTATAATTACAAATTCATTGAATTCAAATTTTGTTTAATTTCATTGCTTTTTTAATTTACAAATCAAATTTTATTTTATTAATTACAATTTTTAATTGAGATCATAAATATACATATAATTTAAATATTATAAATTTTGCCTTTAGTTTTCTACTTTTTCACTAAAAACAAAATTAATTAATGACTTTAGTTTCTGTTTAGTTTAAACTAATTTATTTTTGCTCTCTACTGTATAAATAGTTAATTTTCAATATGTAATATAATTTGCAATTTATATGTTTTATGATTTATTTTTTCAAGTTTTAAGTTTATTTTTATATTAATTAAAATTTATTAAAAATTAAATAATTTCTTTATGTGGCTATAACCTTATTTGGTTTAATTTTCCTTTATACCTGTATTTATAAACAAAGTAATAATTATAGGTATTTATTTATTTTTTTTTGTTTTTATTTTATTTTAAATCTAGTATGTTGCAATTATTTTTTTATAGGAGAAGTTCAACGTTGAAAGGTGCCTCATTTTAGTTTATTAACAATTTTGTGTAAAAAATAATAGACCCGTTCGTTTATTTACATCCACAAAAACACACGTAAAGCATTTAATAAATTAATCATCCCTGTAAAGAAATTTTAGAACAAACATTATTATTAATACAATTTTAAAAATAAACAGTTGTATTTAATTAACTATATATATTTAATTTCATGTTATACAACATAAACCATTTTATGGGGCCTTTTTCTAGTTCAGTTCTACTTTAGTTCTAGTTCTTGTTCAGTTTAAGATCAGTTTAAGATCAGTTCTAGTTCAGTTCTAGTTCAGTTCTAGTTCAGTTCTAGTTCAGTTCTAGTTCAGTTTAATTCAGTTCCAGTTCTAGTTCAGTTTTAGTTTAGTTCTAGTTCAGTTCTAGTTCAGTTCTAGTTCAGTTCTAGTTCAGTTCTAGTTCAGTTCTAGTTCAGTTCTAGTTCAGTTCTAGTTCAGTTCTAGTTCAGTTCTAGTTCAGTTCTAGTTCAGTTCTAGTTCAGTTCTAGTTCAGTTCTAGTTCAGTTTCTAGTTCAGTTCTAGTTCAGTTCTAGTTCAGTTCTAGTTCAGTTCTAGTTCTGTTCTAGTTCAGTTCTAGTTCAGTTCTAGTTCAGTTCTAGTTCAAGTTCTAGTTCAGTTCTAGTTCAGTTCTAGTTCAGTTCTAGTTCAGTTCTAGTTCAGTTCTAGTTAGTCAGTTCTAGTTCAGTTCTAGTTCAGTTCTAGTTCAGTTCTAGTTGAGTTCTAGTTCAGTTCTAGTTGAGTTCTAGTTCAGTTCTAGTTCAGTTCTAGTTCAGTTCTAGTTCAGTTCTAGTTCAGTTCTAGTTCAGTTCTAGTTCAGTTCTAGTTCAGTTCTAGTTCAGTTCTAGTTCAGTTCTAGTTCAGTTCTAGTTCAGTTCTAGTTCAGTTCTAGTTCAGTTCTAGTTCAGTTCTAGTTCAGTTTCTAGTTCAGTTCTAGTTCAGTTCTAGTTCAGTTCTAGTTCAGTTCTAGTTCAGTTCTAGTTCAGTTCTAGTTCAGTTCTAGTTCAGTTCTAGTTCAGTTCTAGTTCAGTTCTAGTTCAGTTCTAGTTTCAGTTCTAGTTCAGTTCTAGTTCAGTTCTAGTTCAGTTCTAGTTCAGTTCTAGTTCAGTTCTAGTTCAGTTCTAGTTCAGTTCTAGTTCAGTTCTAGTTCAGTTCTAGTTCAGTTCTAGTTCAGTTCTAGTTCAGTTCTAGTTCAGTTCTAGTTCAGTTCTAGTTTCAGTTCTAGTTCAGTTCTAGTTCAGTTCTAGTTCAGTTCTAGTTCAGTTCTAGTTCAGTTCTAGTTCAGTTCTATTTAAGTTCTAGTTCAGTTCTAGTTCAGTTCTAGTTCAGTCTAGTTCAGTTCTATTCAGTCTAGTTCAGTCTAGTTCAGTTCTAGTTCAGTTCTAGTTTCAGTTCTAGTTCAGTTCTAGTTCAGTTCTCTTACAGGTTCTAGTTCAGTCTAATTCTAGTCAGTTCTAGTTCAGTTCTAATTCTAGTTCAGTTCTAGTTCAGTTCTAATTCTACTTCAGTTCTAGTTCATGTTCTAATTCTAGTTTCAGTTCTAGTTCAGTTCTAGCGGTGGTTTCTAACAGAGTTCTTGTTGCGTTCTTGCTGAGTTCTAGTGGAGTTACAGTGGAGTTCTAGTAGATTTTCAGTTGAGTGCTTTTAGAGGTCAAGTTCAGTTCCAGTTTAGTTACAATCCACATCTAGTACTGTTCTAATCCTGTTCTAGAACAGTGCTAAACCAGTTTTAGTACAATTCTAATACAGTCCAATAATTTTATCCTGCAGTTTCTGAGTTGTACGATTTTTTATTCATGTGGTCATCACCCACTCAAGATATTAAAATATGAAGTAGTCTCTAGTTCACTCTTGACATTTAAGAAGTGCAAATACAAATTTGAAGAAAATCTATCAAATCTTTAAGCTTTCTGTAGACTTCAGTCAGGCATACAAAATACATAAACTTTAATATATAAAGAATTAGTATTAAGCACTTTTAGATAATTTTGTTTGTCGCTTTTGAAACGTGTCAATAATTTACTGTTCTGTTAATTAATACTGCAATACAAAATCATTAAATAAATAGATACAAAGTCATTTTATATGTATTATTTTTAATTGACTCTAAAAATGTTGTTAATACTATTGCAGTTATAAATTGATAAATGATGTTTTGCCTAATAAATTTTGGCGAAAAACTTTTATAGATCATAAAAATGTTAAAAGATTTATTTTGGAATTAAAATAAAAAAAAAAACAGTTGTAAGCAGTGTGTTAGTTTTAAAACTTCTAAACTAATGTTTTCCTAAAACTGAATCTCGAGAACTATAAATAAATAAACTAAAGAAGATTTTACTTTCCAATTTTCTACATTTTTCAACATACATACTCAATTTAGTTCTTTAATTAGACTTCAAAACTGTACCACAATTTATAAACCTTTTATACATTCTAAATTATTTTGCTCTTTTTTATATTTGGATCATAAAAACTACTTTGAAATAATTTACGACCAAAAACAAAAATTCTACAATAATCTTTAGTTGTTTTTGGAATTTTTGACGTTGACAGCATAAAAAATTCGTAATCGTTACGCACAATTAAAATAAACAATTCGTTGTGTAGACATACAACACTTAACTATGGGCACATATGCTTCCATCTCATCATCAGCAGCAACAACGTCATCAAAAAATTATCAAAAGACCACGAAGACGTAGTGCTACTTACTTTTTTAATGTACTATTTATATGAAGTAGAAAACACAATAAGAACGACACACGACAATTGCAAAGAAGGGACTTCAATTCTAGTTCAGTTCTAATTCAGTTGTAGTTCAGTTCTAGTTCAGTTCTAGTTCAGTTCTAGTTGTTCAGTCAGTTCTTAGTTCAGTTCTAGTTCAGTTCTAGTTCAGTTCTAGTTCAGTTCTAGTTCAGTTCTGAGTTTCAGTTCTAGTTCAGTTCTAGTTCAGTTTAGTCAGTTTCTAGTCAGTTCTAGTTCAGTTCTAGTCAGTTCTAGTTCAGTTCTTAGTTCGTTCTAGTTCAGTTCTAGTTCAGTTCTAGTCAGTTCTAGTTCAGTTCTCGTCAGTTCTAGTCAGTCTAGTTCAGTTCTAGTTCAGTTCTAGTTCAGTTCTAGTCAGTTCTAGTTCAGTTCTAGTTCAGTTCTAGTTCAGTTCTAGTCAGTTCTAGTTCAAGTTCTAGTTCAGTTCTAGTTCAGTTCTAGTTCAGTTCTAGTTCAGTTCTAGTTCAGTTCTAGTTCAGTTCTAGTTCAGTTCTAGTTCAGTTCTAGTTCATTCTAGTTCAGTTCTAGTTCAGTTCTAGTTCAGTTCTAGTTCAGTTCTAGTTCAGTTCTAGTTCAGTTCTAGTTCAGTTCTAGTTCAGTTCTAGTTCAGTTCTAGTTCAGTTCTAGTTCAGTTCTAGTTCAGTTCTAGTTCAGTTCTAGTTCAGTTCTAGTTCAGTTCTAGTTCAGTTCTAGTTCAGTTCTAGTTCAGTTCTAGTTCAGTTCTAGTTCTAGTTCCAGTTCAGTTCTAGTTCAGGGTTAGTTCAGTTCTAGTTCAGTTCTAGTTCAGTTTTAGTTCATTTCTAGTTTCAGTTCTAGTTCAGTTCTAGTTCAGTTCTAGTTCAGTTCTAGTTCAGTTCTAGTTCAGTTCTAGTTCAGTTCTAGTTCAGTTCTAGTTCAGTTCTAGTTCAGTTCTAGTTCAGTTCTAGTTCAGTTCTAGTTCAGTTCTAGTTCAGTTCTAGTTCAGTTCTAGTACAGTTCTAGTTCTAGTTCAGTTCTAGTTAATTCTAGTTCAGTTCTAGTTCAGTTCTAGTTCAGTTCTAGTTCAGTTTTAGTTCAGTTCTAGTTCAGTTCTAGTTCAGTTCTAGTTCAGTTCTAGTTCAGTTCTAGTTCAGTTTTAGTTCAGTTCTAGTTCAGTTCTAGTTCAGTTCTAGTTCAGTTCTAGTTCAGTTCTAGTTCAGTTCTAGTTCAGTTCTAGTTCAGTTCTAGTTCAGCTCTAGTTCAGATCTAGTTCAGTTCTAGTGCAGTTTGGTTATGTTCTATTGCATTTCAAAATTTTATATTACGTACTCACTTTAATTCGGAATCAGTCTTCCAATTCTTATTAAAAATCTCAAAAGAAATATTTTGCTCGCATTTTATTATTTTATTTAATTTTCCAACAGTTTTAATGTTTTTTGATGTGTTGTTTTTTCTCCAAAATTAATTTTGATTTCTTTACATTAACGATTTTGTTTGTCTTATTCTTGTGACAAAATATTCCTTACTCAACATAAATATTCTGCCATTTATGTGTAGTGCACAACATTTTATAGACCCATGAAATAATTTTGCCAAAATTCAAAAGTACTTAAGCAATTGTATAAGTAATGTATGAAACTTTATACTAGACTCTTGAATTTCGATTCGTTTTGGTATTTTGAAAAAGATTTATGATTTTTGTACATTTGAAGAACAGTTGTGATTTTTTCAGTTAGTATTTTAAGTGCAAAAGTCTAATAAAATTTGATTTATAATGGTTTTGGGGAAATTAAAATGTCATACAAAATTATAAAATCAACATACAAAATAATATGTTACAAAAGATTTTGAGAGATTTCAAAAAAAAAAAAAAAAAAAAAATGTTTCTACATATTTTTGAAATCAGCGAAATATGTATGTATAGAGTCCAATTTTTAATATAATGCATTAGGTAACATTTATATAGTCCGCCCTCACACCTACACTGATAATGAAACAGCGATGTATTCAAACGATTTGCCAGTCACCAATTTTTCTTTTAATTTTTTCTCAAACTATCGCAACATTTAAACTAATAGCCCCTAAATTGTATGGTGATTGGTGATATCATAAATTCGTCATTCTTTAAACTCATATATTTTTAATATCAGGAAATAAATTATCTAATTTTTCCGACAGGCAATTTATAGCGAATTTTTATTGTTTAAAACACATGTTCAAGTAATTATTTAATTTGCAAATGCAATTTTGAAATTATTGTTTTACAACTTAATTTTCGTATATTTTGAAAGCAATTAAAATCGAGCATTATATTTATTTAATAATTTGACTTTTGGTTGCACAACATTGTTGCAG